ATATCGACCGAATTTTTAATTTTAAGTTAATAGAAGATTAATTAGTTGGGGCATATAGGGTATTTTGGATTGTTTGGACTTATGGCAAATATCAATTTATAAAATTGGATTTATCAAGAAGTCAAAATGCAATGGAGGGTGTTTATCAAATAACCCCTTGAATATAATATGTCAAAAAAGTTAGACAGCTATTCCCAAAGTTCCTGAAAAATTGGGCTACACAAGCTGGTTTGTGATAAATAACGAAAAAAAAAATACTGATAACTGAAAAAATGTTAATTTTTAGAGCTATTAAAATCACCATATCTTTTTTCTCTCTCCTAGATTAAACGACGGCGTTTCAATTAGAAGTGGTTTCTCATAAAACTGTGATGAATAACATGCAAAAGTCCCTCTCTCCAATTAAAGAGAGGAAATTGGGCTAAGCCATAAATTGATAATATTTAACTTGTACAACATCAGCCCAATTCCTTATTAGGCAGATATCACCTACAAACAGGCCCACTTATTTTAATTTTTAAAATTTCTGGTATTTTTCTACCGAGAAAATTCATTAATCTAATATTTTTCTCATTGGTTTATATATATGTCAGAAAAAAATTATTCACAAAAAACTAATGTCAGGTAACAGAAAATAAAAATATATATAAAAAAAAAAAAACGAGAAACAATAAAGCATGCAATAGCCAATAGGAAACCCACTACCCCAAAAGCAGGTACCTATTTATGGTAAAGTCCAAGGGAGAGACAAGTTACCCCACCAGGTCACCTATACTAATAATATACCTCTTAACTATTAACTAATGTCAATTCACCTTTTTTTATTCACACCTTCAATTATTGTTTCTCCACGTGGAAAAGCAGCAATTAAATAACTACCACTATTACTTACACAAAATAAATCCGGCCCACTTAAAGGTCTTGCTATAAAGCCTAGACTTGATATACTGTCCATGCCCTGATAGCACATATGCATCTGTATGTATATTATGATTTCTGTCATTTCCAATTTTCGTGACACTGTTTATTATTATTTTTTTTTTTATGTTTTTTTA